TTAAAGTGCAGGCTGTCTCCTTTAAATTGAGGGTGTTTTGTGTTCATAAACCATAAATCATGTACAAATAACAGCTTAGTGTATGTATAGTTCTTCAATTTTAGGAGACAAAAATTAATCAAACTTGGCCCATTGTGTATTGTATCGTAACGCGAGGAGCATATCAGTTAAGATTTCTATGATGTTGCTAGAAATGTATACAAATTGATCAGAGACATAGCAAAACCACTGAGTAGAACAAAATGGACTCTGCAGTGTTAGAATGTGGAATTCACTGTAGCTGATGGGAAAATACTTGTGGTTGTGAAGGTAGAAACCCTTTTCAAATGTCAGACAGATCAAGGATCCTCTAAAGACTGTATAGAAGGCATAGACGTTTTAGAAAACAACTCCTATGCTAACATAACATTAGAGATATAAACACAATTGCTAAATTATAGAGGTGTTACTTCAAGATGCAGCCCATTGGTGAATATTATGAAAAGAAAGTATGAAAGGAATGACATGCACTTGATCCAATGCATACAGGGATATGTGTTATGGACAGTTGAGAATGAAGTTTGTTTGTACCTTGGTAAAGTAAAAACGAATGTGTGATGAGATCTATCAAATATGTTGAGGGTAATGTTATGGGTCATGGATGTGTTAGAGACTATAAATGACTCAATGTCATTTTTTTTTTTATATGGCTTCTCGCAGCAGCACCAGGATGAACTCTAAGGCCTCCAGAAACATTTTATCAGCTTAGATTAAACAATAAAAACCAAGTCTATTGGGAGGCATGTCATGTTTGAACAGGCCAGTAGCATACATGTTGCTTAAGCATCCAGGAAAGGCTATACATTGACTGTGTCTGACTATCAATCATCCAACCACATGTTAGCTGAGTCTGTGTTTTCCTCATTGAAGACACAACTAAAGTGACCCAAAAGGAACAGGAGCTGAAGATTACTGTAGCATAAGTCTGGCAAACCATCACCAAGAAAGACACCGAATGTAAGGTGACATCCATAAGTCTAAAACATCAGGTAGTCAAATATGAAGAATTTGTCTCCATGTTCCATATATGAAACCTTTATTTAAGATTATGCACATTTTTCCAGTTATTTTTGGTACCCTTAAATAGCAGAACTTAATATTTAAAAAAAAAAAAAACAGTTGTAGTTTGTGTACTGTTATTTATGTTTCTGTTTGTATATACACTCTTAATAAAAAAAACTTAAAGCTTTCTCTTATTTTGCAATGTTTGAGTATGGAACCAAAAAATAGTTTTCAAACACATAGATTTGACTGTATGACTATGCCCTGATCTTTATGAGGACCAAGGGCTGGTGTTTTTCACTAGCACAAGATAACATTGTGGCGAAACCAACCTCACCACTGGGCATTGGAGAAGACTGATTGCCAGCCTCCTGCCATGTGACTATGGCCCCTGGGATGTATTGCCCTTTAAAGACATGATTTGGGCATAATGGATTTGTATTGTGCTGCTGCTGGCCCATCTGGGGACATACTGTGGCCACCATTTCATGTATCAGAGGCACATGGTGAGAACAATGGATGAATCACATGGTGAGAACAATGGATGGCGGCCATTTTAACTTACAGACACTGTTTGGACTTTACTACATGGTGCCATCTCGCCGGTATTTGGTGCACAAAGACATTGTGCAGTAGTTTTAAACTATACAACAGGGGGCACATTATACAGTAATTATTTTTCATATAGCCTGTATATGTTCTGCGGAATCTGCACTGAGCTGTATCTTCCAAAGTACTGAACGGATCTGGGTGAATTTTGGATATGTGGTTCACCCAGATCCCCCGGTTCCAATGATATACTTTTTATGGGGTTATTGCATGTTTTTGGGGTCCCTGTGATATGTTTTATAATACTGTATTTCTCTGCCTGTGATAATTATATTAAGCATTGTGTTCAGTAATCATATCACAGGCAGAGGGGAGGACAGTGGCGTACACATGACCCATGGGGCCCCGGTGCGAAAATTGATCCGTGGGCCCCCCCCGCGCGCGGGCTGGGCCGCAACACATGGCGGTGGGCACCTGGTCGCAGGGGTCACAGGGTTGCGACCCCTGCGACCGCGGTATGTACGCCAGTGCATGCAGATGCACACATACTTAAAGGACCACTACAGACACCCAGATCACATCAGCTCAATGAAGTGGTCTGGGTGCCAGGTCCCTCTAGTTTTAACCCTGCAGCTGAAAACATAGCAGTTTCAGAGAAACTGCTATGTTTCACTGAGGGTTAATCCAGCCTCTAGTGGCTGTTTCACTGACAGCCGCTAGAGGAGCACACTGAACGTCCATAGGAAAGCATTGAGTAATGCTTTCCTATGGGCGGTTTGGATGCGTGCGCGGTCGCATTCGGAGCTGAGAGGCTGAGGGATCCCCAGCGCCAAGGGAGTCCGGCACTGGAGAAAGGTAAGTGCTGAAGAGACACACACTCTCACTTACAGACGCATACACACTAGCTAACAGACACACACATTTACTGACAGACACACTCAGCGACAGACATACATACACACTCACAAAACATACACTCTCATTGACAAACACACACTCACTAACAGACATCAAACAGACTCACTAACACACACACTCAGTAAGACACACACAGTAACACTCACTGGCACTCACTAGCAGACACACTCACTCACTCAAATACTCACTCTAACACTCACTGACACTCACTAGCAGACACAATCACACTCACTGACACTCACTAGCAGACACACTCACTCACTCTAACACACATTCTAACACTCACTAGCAGACACACACACACTCACACTAACACTCACTCTAACACTCACACTCACTCTAACACTCACACACTCTAACACTCACACACACTCTAACACTCACTAGCAGACACACACACACTCACACTCACTCTAACACTCACACACTCTAACACTCACTAGCAGACACACACACACTCACACTAACACTCACTCTAACACTCACACTAACACTCACACTAACACGTTTTAAATGTAATCCCCCCAGCCTCCTTACCTTTTGGAGTGCTGGGGGGATTCCCTGGGGTCCAGTGGTGCTGCTGGGCTCCTGGGCGGGTGGCCGCGCGAGGGAGCACTCACTGCTTCCTCTTCAGCTCCCTCACGCGCCGCGTATGGATGCCGGCGCCGGAAGATGAAGTCATCTTCCGGCTCCGGTATCAGTGCGGGGCGCGAGGGAGCTGAAGAGGAAGCAGTGAGTGCTCCCTCGCGCGCCCGCCTGCCGGGGGTCAGCAGGGCCAGCCTCGGGGGGCCCTGGGGTGGTCCGCTCCTGGGCCCCCCAGGGAAGAGGCTGGCCCAGTGGGTACACACCGGGTCGCAGGGGCGGCCGGGCCCCTTGGTGGACCCTGGTATGTACACCACTGGGGGAGGATTTTGTGTGGGAGTGTCTGTGTGTATTGTACGGATTGATTGGTTGTATTTCAAAACCCTGTGGGCAGTACTATGTTTGTGGATTGTGAATAAAAGAGGCTGTATGTGCCAGTGCAGTCAGTTCTACTTCACCCTCAATTTGGAGTGCCGTCTCTGATTGGGGGAATCTGCTACAAGGGATTGCTATGCTCTGCATACTCTCTTGCTATATTCACTGCTAAGCTCTTGTAAGAGCTTGTTCCTGTCCTGTTCTCTGAAGGAGTCCACGGTGGTTATGGTGTCGGCTAGAGTGCTTGGATCCCTCAGGAATGTGCTAGGAGCATCCTTCAACGGAGGTACCCAGTCGGGGTGCCTGGTGATCCGTTACAAACATTTACATTGTTCTCCAGTCACCATCTCTGGGCTGAGTTTTGTGAATGTAATTAGATAGAAGAGATGATAATAAGGGGAAAGTTACATGAAAAGATCTAACAATATAAGAATGACATAATGGGACAAAGGTGTACTAGCTCAACACTTTATTAGTTATATCTTAAATTCTAGAATTGTTTTCATCAATATTATGTAAGCTTTAATGTAGAAAACAAGTTGTTGAACATACATAGATAATGGGCCAACATGTAGTTTGAGTTAAAGGGCTGGCCATTTGCAGGACAAATAAAGTGCATACTACAGTGACGTATGGGAACCCAGTGGAGCTTTATGGCTTCTCCTACTTTATAATGTTAATACTGTATTTCTGTAAGTTGAAGGGGATATAACATATATCCTATATTTAACAAATATGTGTTTATGAGGACTAAACAATAACATGAAATGTAGAAATACAAACTACTTTACCTTGCTATACAGTTCCAGCTTAGCTTCTTGTATATTAATGCTATAAGCTCTGCCCTTCTCTAATGCATTGTGTGCCATGGCTATGTGGCATGAATTAAATTCTGATGTTAAATGCCAATATGTAATCTGCATTTAAAAGAAAATGGAGCATCACATGAAATAATAGTAAAGGCAAATAATAGGTGTTTTTTAAAAAAAAATTTTTATTCAATAATATAATCTATATAAAGGGTGTCCGTAGAAAGAAATGGTAATCTGGGTGGAAAAGGGCTAAAGATGAAGAATATCTGGGGAAAGATAATGAGAAGAGCTGGGAAAGAAAAGTCCGGTTTCAGGATTTGTGAAACAAAACCAGTTAAAAAGGTGAGTGTAATAAGGAGAAGGTGTTAATGTAAAATATAGTGGTCTCAGAAAATAAGAGGGACTATTAGGAACAGAAAGTAAGAAGGAAAGAGAACAGGGATAGGGTTTGTAAAGGAAAGAGTGTATATGAGATGAAAAGTGGATGTTTGATAAAAATAAAAATGTGGGTGTAAACGGAAAACGCTTACAAAATTTCAAAAAGTTAAAAAAATTTTGTGTTTTCCCTTCAAAATATATATTGGGTATTTATTATTAGTAGTACAATACAAATCGACAAACAAAACTCACACTGTTTCACACTGTTAGCGCAATAATTGAATAACAACAAGGTTCAGTTATCAACACCTTAAGGACACAACTTCAGGAATAAAAGGGAATCATGACGGAATATTTCCGTCATGTGTCCTTTAGTTGTTAACAATGCTTACTCGTAACTGTTAGCATATGGAAAATATTCAGCATATTGTTATTTGTTGGTTTGAATTTTGACTTGTTCCAATATGACTGCTGGCGAGATCTATTAATGACAGTTATATCTTACAATGGCTAACTAAAAGAATAGGAGAAAAGCTGGAGTGAAATTGTTGTCTGTGTCTCCTCCTCATTTGCAGTCCTTGCCCTGACTTTGCCATGGCTGATCTCAATTGCGATGCCACTTGCTATATCTTATAAATGAAATGTATGTAAGTTTAAAAGAAAATTAAGCATCTCATGAATGTAATTTAAATGTTTTATTCAATGCTATAAATGACATTTCCCTTTCCATTCCATTTTCCTTTCTTGTTTTTTATTTTGTTACACAATTAGGTATTTTTCACCATAATACGTAAAAAATGCATTGAAAGTATAACACCAAAGTGACATATTTTAATATCTATGAAAATGTTTTTGCTGCTGTGATGATCTCACATATACTAGTCCAGAATATCAACCACATGCATTAACTTTTCACAGCTGCAAGAATAAGGCCAATAAATGCAAATGCCAAGTGTATTATGATCTGACTGTGTGTTAGATAGGAAAACGAAGGAAATAAAAACATGTAATAAGTTCAAAAGCATACCTGCTCATTTCTAATAAAACTCAACAGCCAAACATACATTCACAATATACAACTTTCCTTCTTTATATATTAAAAAAGCTTATCTCTTTGTTAGGTAAGATTACGGATGCGGACACAGAGGCTCCTGTGGGTTTAAAGTTGAAAGATGGTATAGTGTTTATATAGAGGATCTGTAGAGATTGCTGATCTGATAAAAGTGAAGTGGGGGTCACCTGCTCTTGAGATCCTATACAGTTGCCTGTAGATTTTACACCTTTTATACTTGAACTCATTCACAATGAGTGACATTTCAGTGACAGTCAAAAAATTTCGTTAGTGGATAAGTGACTCTCCTGGCATGTCACAGTGCATATAGATTGTAGCATAAAAATATACTAGTTTGCTGATAAACAATGATACTGACAAATCTGGGACTAGGACCATTGGTATCAACCACTTACCCTTTATTTCCGAAAATGTAATCACTCTGAGATAGCAATGCATGGAAATGATAGACAAACAGCATTAGTAATTGTATGACTGCAAGTGAGAAGGGAGGCTTCAAGCCTATTATAGAGATAGACGCTCTTTATAAAGATTACTCACTGTATAAGACAATGATCAAGAGGTTTATCTATATTTCTATGGGCTCCAATTTGCGGCAATAAATACTTCCAGCCTCCCCTTTTACATCTTTGTCAATGAGCAACGGGTGTCGTCACGTCTCTTTCTCACTCATTGCAATTATTGGTAAGGAGGCAGTTTCAGGGTAAATTTAGTCACAAATCTAGCCCCAAAACCATTCTATTTAAAAAAATATACATTAATTATTTCACCCTAAAACAGGGGTAGGCAACCTTTGACACTCAAGATGTTGTGAACTACATCTATCCTGAAAACAAACAAAGCATTATGGCTGTAAGAGCATTATGGGCGATGTAGTCCACAACATCTGGAGTGCCAAATGTTGACTATCCCTGACCCTAGACATGACATTAAGTACAGCAGTATTTTTGCTGCAAGAAGTAAAATATCTGAAGAAATTGAGGGGTATTACCAGATAGATTGAGCTTATGGAACGCAACTAATTATTATTATTAAAAACAAATATATAGAAGAATAATAAAAAAACACACAGTAGGACTAACTGTAACCTAGCGTACATATTGAACCAACAATGTGTGGATGCCTTTAAAGACAAATTATGAACTTTTAGGAGAAAACATCAATGACAAAATGCATAATGAAATGCATGCATGTTTATATTTGGGGTATATCTACTAAATGTATTTACTTATTTTTAATTGGGTAGTGGAGTGTTTTTTAACACTAGCAAAACATTACCTATCTAGGGTTACAGGAGTGTGGAGAATGAATGAAAAGGTATGAAAACAACCAATTGTTGATTTGAAATCATAATAAGGCCGTAATCAGGGGACACAACACTAACACTTAAAGAAAATTAACAATACAAAATTTAAAGAGACACTCCAGGCACCCAGACCATGTCTGCCCATTGGAGTGGTCTGGGTGCCAACTCCCATCACCTTTAACCCTGCAAGTGTAATTATTGCAGTTTTTATGAACTGCAATAATTACCTTGCAGGGCTAAGTCCTCCTCTAGTGGCTGTCTATCAGACAGACACTAGAGGGACGTCCAACTTCTTAGAACACGAAAAGTGTTTTAAATGAAGCTGGACGTCCTCACACTATGCATGAGGACCTCCAGTGTTGCCGGAATCCCCATAGGAAAGCATTGAATAAAGCATTCCTATGGGGAGGTCTAATAATGCTTACCTATGGGGAGGTCTAATAATGCTTTCCTATGGAGAGGCCTAATGTGGCCGTTGTCATCACCGGCCATTTGCATTAGGTCTCCCCTGCCAGCTGACGTCGGAGGAGCGTGGGCGGAGCCTGACCTAGCTCAAAGGGACATTGGCACTGGATTCATGTAAGTAACTTAATGGGTTTTAACCCCTTCAGCAACAGGGGAGGGGGCACTGCAGTGCCAGGAAAACGGGTTTGTTTTGCTGGCACTGGAGAGTACCTTTAATAAGTTATATGTGGTGTTAGACAATATAATAAAATTGAACTAGAAAAGCTACAATTTCTGGGGAAATTGTGTGAAGTGTTCTTGCATTAACAGTAGTCTACTACTGGAGTGGGCGGAGTAACTGGGTGGAGTGGCTTGAGTAACTGTGTGTGGTTGGAATGGCTGGAGTAACCGTGGAAAGGTTGGACTGGGCAGAGTAACCGTGTGGAGTGTTTGGTGTGAGTAAAGATAGTAAACATTACACTAACCAATTGACTGATCAAATGTAAAAAGTGCACATGGCAAGCTTGATAGAGTGAGAAATGTATTTCAAATTTAATTTATTTATATAGCACATTTAATTGCAACGTTGTTGCCCAAAGTGCTTCACAGTTACATTAAAACATACATTTATAAAAACCTCAGCAGGTCTACAAAAGGCCTTGTCTATGACATCACTTGCTGCTCCAGCCTGGCACAGGTCAGAGTATTTTGGCGGTTGCCATCTTCAAACAGTCGTATTTTAAAAATTATACATCCTACAGCGAAGAGCTTTATATTGTGAGAATCACAAGACCCAGACCTACATTGTGATGCATAGTATGTCTCTGAAGTATTAAAAATGAAGGCACAGTCGCAGTTTAGAAATTGCCCTTCAAATTTGAGCTGCTAGAGTGGAGTTTCAATGAATGTCAATGGACGGCGTGAGTTGCAAACAAATAGTCATATTGTGAAAACTGTTAGGACTATGGCTTAGCCGTGGACATGTTTAGTGGCAGCAGGGATAGCTGAAGGTTTTGGTATAAGATTTGTGTAGGTGGGCTTGAAAATGAGGGAGTGGTGGCAGTTTAGAAATCATGTCCTGATTTTTTAGCTTTTGCCAGCTCCCACTCTAGTTTTGAACCTTTTGCCATTCATTCCTATGGGACCAATTTCGCCACAAGAACGACAATATTCATGAACCATTTGGCGAAACGTTCCACAAAGTAATAGCACACCGATCGGGAACAATCCACACGTTTCGATATATTACTGTCTATATAGTGTAAAAACTGTGGGAGGAGTTAGGGTGGTAAATTTGGCTATAATAAGAATAAGAATAATATATATGTGAGATAACATTAAGTGGTCTTGCTATGCAAGAACACTTAATAATCCCAGGAAAACAAGAGAATTAAGAGCCAATATTAAAAGAATTAGAGAAGAATTATGCGCACTGCAACCAGCAAAAACATCATACAGGGAGTGCAGAATTATTAGGCAAGTTGTATTTTTGAGAATTAATTTTATTATTGAACAACAACCATGTTCTCAATGAACCCAAAAAACTCATTAATATCAAAGCTGAATATTTTTGGAAGTAGTTTTTAGTTTGTTTTTAGTTTTAGCTATGTTAGGGGGATATCTGTGTGTGCAGGTGACTATTACTGTGCATAATTATTAGGCAACTTAACAAAAAACAAATATATACCCATTTCAATTATTTATTATTACCAGTGAAACCAATATAACATCTCAACATTCACAAATATACATTTCTGACATTCAAAAACAAAACAAAAACAAATCAGTGACCAATATAGCCACCTTTCTTTGCAAGGACACTCAAAAGCCTGCCATCCATGGATTCTGTCAGTGTTTTGATCTGTTCACCATCAACATTGCGTGCAGCAGCAACCACAGCCTCCCAGACACTGTTCAGAGAGGTGTACTGTTTTCCCTCCTTGTAAATCTCACATTTGATGATGGACCACAGGTTCTCAATGGGGTTCAGATCAGGTGAACAAGGAGGCCATGTCATTAGATTTTCTTCTTTTATACCCTTTCTTGCCAGCCACGCTGTGTAGTACTTGGACGCGTGTGATGGAGCATTGTCCTGCATGAAAATCATGTTTTTCTTGAAGGATGCAGACTTCTTCCTGTACCACTGCTTGAAGAAGGTGTCTTCCAGGAACTGGCAGTAGGACTGGGAGTTGAGCTTGACTCCATCCTCAACCCGAAAAGGCCCCACAAGCTCATCTTTGATGATACCAGCCCAAACCAGTACTCCACCTCCACCTTGCTGGCGTCTGAGTCGGACTGGAGCTCTCTGCCCTTTACCAATCCAGCCACGGGCCCATCCATCTGGCCCATCAAGACTCACTCTCATTTCATCAGTCCATAAAACCTTAGAAAAATCAGTCTTGAGATATTTCTTGGCCCAGTCTTGACGTTTCAGCTTGTGTGTCTTGTTCAGTGGTGGTCGTCTTTCAGCCTTTCTTACCTTGGCCATGTCTCTGAGTATTGCACACCTTGTGCTTTTGGGCACTCCAGTGATGTTGCAGCTCTGAAATATGGCCAAACTGGTGGCAAGTGGCATCGTGGCAGCTGCACGCTTGACTTTTCTCAGTTCATGGGCAGTTATTTTGCGCCTTGGTTTTTCCACACGCTTCTTGCGACCCTGTTGACTATTTTGAATGAAACGCTTGATTGTTCGATGATCACGCTTCAGAAGCTTTGCAATTTTAAGAGTGCTGCATCCCTCTGCAAGATATCTCACTATTTTTGACT